GAAAACAAGTTTGACTAAAATAAGTTAATTTTAAGAAGTAAAAATATAGCTTAAATTTCCCAGAATCAAAGAAGATTCTCGTGAGAAGTACTGTTATATGTACTCACTGTGATATTTCTTATTTACAAACAATAGATTTTTATTATTTAATGATTTATTACATATGTAACTTTTTACAGACAGTTGTTGACTGCAGTTTTACAGTTCATGTTGTCTGTTAGCGCACATAAAAGTCAAGTACTTCTGTATCGACTGGATGTCAACCTACTTGGAAAATCTAGTGCTTCAAAGGTGCTGCCTGATAATTCAATACTTTCTAGCTTTTTTAGAGTTCAGATTTAGTGTAACAATAATTATACATTTTATAAAAAAAAAATTGATACAGATTAATTTTTTTTTAGCATTAGTATTTTTAGAAGTACTGCAAAAATACAAATAAATCGTTTTTAGATATTAGGAATATTCATTTCAATTATGTTATAACTTTCCTGTGGTAAAATTCATACTGTTCCTTATTCTATTTATAGAAAGCTGACTCTGTTGATATGAGTAAGCTCCCCTCTCTAACTCCTGTCATTTTGCCAAGAAATCAGGTAAAGCATATATTTTTCTTTCATGAATTATTTTATGAAACAAATTCCAATAAAAACATGATAAATACAAACATCAAATGTATTGGGTTTGAATGATTATCATCATTATTATCATATTATAAAGTTCAAATTAATGCTGTTATTGAAAATTTGAAGTAGAAAATGGAGCAAGTTAATTTTATATAATTAAAATATACAATTTTATACAGTCATATATTGTAAAAATATAGGGAATCTTTTAAAAATATCATTTTAGTTCAATATATTTTGTAATTAATAAAATTAAAATGATTGTCCATGATGTAAATGTGACCTTTCTGCAGAAACTCGGATTTTCTCTGAGTGATTCTTTGACCAATCTGACAGACTATAGAGTAAGAACAGAGTGTGATTGCGTAGGGTTTTCAAAAATTGTTCAAGTATTCTAAACAAGAAAAGTAGTGAAGTCTGTTTGTACCTTCAATGACAGAAAATTTTTATGATAAAAACTTCATTTCTAGAAAAAAATCTTTCTATATATGCATGCTTAATAGTAAATCATTCAAAATGATAACTTAATTAAAGCCATTTTTTTTTTCGAAATCCAAAATTTCATGATCAATATTTTTTTCTTTTGGATATGATAACAGTGCTTGAGCAATTTGGATATCAGTTTCATTTCTTGTGTTTTTAAATAGCCATTTGATTTGCACTGACAAGTAGAATATGCTTCAATGTTGTTTGTGAATATGAGAATGCATTTCATTAACTGCTATAAAGGTGTAAAGATATATGTGTTGCCATTTGTTGTGTAATTTTTTTAAATAGCTTTTTATGTTTTCCTCTATTTATCAAAGTTTATGATATAATTTTGGTATATGTGTAAGACAGTGTAAAATTTGAATTTCTATTTTTATGGCACTGCAATTCAGTATAAATGCATATCTTATTTTTATCCTTTTTCTTTCAATATATATTTTCTAAATATGTATTTTCATTTTGTACCCCTCTTGTAAAGGTGCCTTCTTAATTAATAATAAAAAAAACATCAACAGCAAATAAGCCCCTTCTGTTTATGTTTTGCAATCAAAATAGAATTTAATTTATTTCAATAAGACCTTATATTGAGAATAATGATTAAGGAGGTTTATCATATTAATTGTAATATACAGTCAACCAGTTTATTTATTCACATTGTTTTTCTTTCCATACAATCAACTTAAAATCCACTTAAAATATAAGTACAGTTAAACACGCTTATTGCAAACACGCTTATACTGAATGGACACTTAAAGCAAAGAGGTTTTCATTCCATGGCTTTAAAATATATTGTAACTTGACAAATTTATAATGATTATAATTAAGCAAATCCTCCATACCTGGTACTTCTTTATGTGTTATTATGTATATATGGAAAAATGTAATGTACTTTGAAATTCCCTGGCATTCTTTTCCATTATGTTATTTGAAGACAAAATTTTGTAGAAATCAGTGCATTAGTGATACAAGAAAGATATTATCATTTTAAGATAGATATTTAATGATTATGTTACATGTACTATTATGATACCTCAAACTGTAATGTTAGATACATGGAATTGATGTTTAATTTTCACAGTTAAGGATGAGTACACCCTGGCTCAGTAAACCAGAGAAACCAGAAGAAATGGAGGAGAAAATCAGACTCGCAAGAAGGTTTGTATCAGCTTATGATTAAAAACTTTAAAATGCACATCAGATAGTATAGAAAATGGAAGTGTTTATTTTTTTAAGTATTCAGTTTTTTTTTTACAAGAATTCATGTTTCAAAGTAAAGTGAAAAGGGAATTAAAATCTTGTGATGAAACATTGTATTACTACTTAACAATACATCTTTGCTTTACTTACTTGCTGAAAAATACAGTACAACATGTTTAAAGTGATCACTGCCAGAGATGCACAATTTTGATTTGTTATACAAGTAATTTGTTATGTCCAGGAAATATGTTTAATATATGAAGGACATATATGCATGATGGAGAAAATATCTTTTATATTTAACAGTAAATCAGATGTGGATGATGAATTCAAGGATCACCTAGAAAGAGCCAAGACATGGCACCAGATTTCTGTTATAGCACAGGTCAGTAAATTCGTAGTTATCCCAAGCAAGGAAAAAAATTCTAAACATGTAAAACTGTATACAGGGAAAAATTTCATCCCCATTTTATTTCCGCTCTTTGCCTTCAATTTGCAAATGGGCAAAATTAAAGATTGGGCAAATTCAAAGAAAACAAAATCTCTTAATTAAATAAATTGGGGGGGGGGGATTCAAAATGAGGCAAAATTATTTGCAGGTGTAACAGGGCAAAAAAAATAAACCTTTCTACAGTAATTATACTGTAATTATATACATGTACATTGTAATCTACTGCAAGAGTATGTGTACAGACTGAACATGGGTGTGATCATAGGACCTGAATGAACACCGGGAACCTTAAGAGTTGTATACTGGACATAGTAATATAAGATCTCTAGGGAAAAAATGGTGAAATTTATTAATATGATCATGTAAACTGTTAAATTAAAGATGGTTCTGTAAACTTTTAAATATAGAACTAAATGAAGAAGTCATATTTTTCTCAGAAGTTTGTAGATACTACAAATACTTGCATGGTCCTAACATTTTTGGCAGCTAGCTAGCACTGTACAGTTTCAAAGAAATCAAAGCATAACTTGTCTTCACCAAATGTTTTTCTATAACAATTATTAATCATTTAATCGTAGGATTTTTTGAAAAAGGGTAAAAAAAAAAAGAATCAGAAAAACAATGTAAAGATTTTGAATTATTATTCTTGTGTTTGGAATAATGTAATCTGTATAATTTTTCCTGAAAGGATGATGTCTTTGAGGTATGTTTTAAGCTGTTGTATGTAGGATCCCATAGCATATACTTGATGTTGTAGCTGAAGATATGTGAAGTACAGAAAAGTAAAACCTTGCCTGGATAGAAAGAAATCTTTTAAAAATAGCTTTGGCAGAAAAGTTTTGTATGATCATGAACTAGAAAGATTTTTGATTTCCAGTCATAAAACCTACCAGAGGTGTGGTATGAACCATTGTTTTGCTGTCTTCCACTGAAGGCCAGTTCAGGTCATTGTGTTTACCTGGAGATATTTTTGAAAACTGTTGAATCCCTTTTGATCTGAAAGCAATCTAATTCATAATAATTATTATATGTGAATTTTTTGATACAGTGTAATATAATTATATTAGCTGTTATTGTCAAGCTCTCCAAAATGGAAGTAGCATTGTGAGCACAAAATTTATTTTAAGTAATTTACATAGGGTCAATTATATTGATATAAATTTACATAATCCAATGTGAACTGGCCTTGAGAGTATAGATATACCTATGTGGTAGCTATAATGCTTCCCCTTATTTTGTGAAACAAACAAAGAGCTTATTATACTTCTGTCAATGAAATGAATAATTATAAAGAATACAATATTAAAATGGCTTTCACCAACAGGTATGATTTTTTAACATGCAATAGATAAAATTTTCAGATTCAATTTTCTCCTGTTTTCACCCTCTTTACTTTACTTCCAGGCCAATGAGAGTCTTGCCCAATATGGCCGACCCAGGACGACCCCCACCAAGGTCAAAGTTCTCCCTGGTGCCAGCTCATCCCAACAGAGGACCCCAGTCAACAAGGAGCGCTTGTTAGTGATTCCAGAAGTAGACCAGCGCAGAGACTATGCTGGATTCGTGTTACAACAGAGAATGGATAACATTGATGTCCGACATAAGACGGAGGTCATGAAACTTTACCTGCCCTACATACAGACCACACCCTCTTCTTGAGAGAGATCAGTGGAAGGAAAAATCCTGATAAGGCACCATAAAAAGACAGGTTAATCATGATGGAGACAATTTTTTGACAGATAAAAAGGAGAGACCGTAATTTGTAACCTAAAAAAAACTTGTGCTAATTCAGTCTTGTGGGTGTAAAAACACTTTGTAACTATTATATAATTATTATTTATATTATATTAAAAAGCAAGTTCATCACACTGAACTCTAAAGTGAAAAGTTGCTTTCTTATATAGGCATGTTAGAAATTCACTTTTGAACTCTTGAATGAAATGTACGTTTCTTCTGAGTCACGAGTTTCTCAGATGTCAATTACAGTGCATCTTCTACAAACAAATTGAATTATACTGATTAATACACTCACTGAATATCTCTTCATTATTTCTTATGAAAACCATATTGTTGTCATTTACAGCCATAGCAAAAACTGAATTTTAAAAATCTCTAAAGATGGCAGAAGTGCTATAAATGTAACACCATGGGTGAAGTATTGTTGTTATTGCAAGTATTTAATATGTAAATGCAGATCAACAAGTTAATTTAGGTTCTCACATCTATATTGTGTGAATAACTTCTTAAAGATATAACTATTTAACAAAAAAATAAAATCATTTTATTGTTTGTGAATTGTACTTTAATTTATTACCATTTCGATGTTGTTTATATTAAAACAATTTTGGAGGGAAATATTTATTTACTATTAGTTTAATTTATAAACTTAAAAACATTATAGATTTTGGTATTCATTTGAAAAGTAAAATCAAATCAATGCAGTATTTAATATACATCATCTGACCACAATGTAAATGTTGTTTCTGCCTTGTTTTATGTCAAAATATTTCACCACAGCCTTAATAATTTTGCTTATTTTATAAATGCAAATTTATGAAAACAGTATTTTCGTGATGCATGTATGTAATACACATTATTTTGTAACTGTTTAATTTCACAATGAGTTTTATTGTGTGGATATAAACAAAAAAATTAATATCATGTCAGTCTTTATCTTCATTTTGTTAGATATAATTTGTTTGTTATGTCTTTTATTTTTTTTTCTTGGAGGGGGGGGGGGGGGTTACTTATCATTATGTCTTTTATTTGCTTGTTAAGATTTAATTAAAGAATGTTTGAAAATGTTTTTTTTTTTAATACTGTATCATTTTTGTTATATCTCCAGTATTAATTTTAATTTTACAAGGTTGGTGAAAATTTTAAGATTTATTTCCTAAGTTCTTCTCAAATCATGACACTAAATGCAGTGAACAAAGCATCAGACATGCTACTTGTGTAGAAAACACCAGTTTTCTTGGTAAAAAAAAAAGATAAAATTGTGTTTAACTTTATTTTCATGCTCGCGCGCATGGCCACCAATCTATGAATATGGCTAGAACATAAACGTGTTTGACATGTCCGACTAAAATCTGTCTTTTTATCACATTTTCCTTAAACTTGGTGTTTGGAGTTAATGCAGAGAAAGAAAGGCACTAGGTATTCCTCAAAATTCATCATATGATACATCTATGCAGTGTTTTCTGTCTCTATTTTTTTTACTTTGACTTTCTGTTCATATTTTTTTCATTTTCGTGTTTAGCTTTGTTTCCAACAGAATAAGATGTTCAAATCAAAATTATGCACTGGAAATTTTAGTGCATTTCAAATGGGTCAAAATTTTGTGGAAAAGAGCTCGTGTTCTAGTAAATCATTTTAGTTTTAAAGAAGCTTCATTGAACTTCGTCTTCTTGATCAATACACTGGGCTCACAGTGGGTGTGACCGATCAACAAGGGATGTTTACTCCTCCTAGGCACCTTATCCTACCTCTGGAATTTTCAGGGATATGCACCTTCTCTTTACAGATTTGTTTTGTTTGTTGTTTTTTGATAACGATCATTGTTATCTGCATTGTTTTCATACAGATAAAAACAAAAATGTGTCAAAATTAGAACTTCTGTATAACTTTTCCTTGACTGCTTCTTTTTCTCCGTGCCTATTTATTGATAAGCCAGGGGTTCCTGACGATATCTTAGAAATGTGGAATTTGATTACTGGAGTATTTGATTTCAAATTAAATCATATTAATTTTTTCTCTATTACTTTTCAATTTGATCAGAGAGTGTGGGACCAATGTCTCAAAACCTTTACAGAAATGTTTTTTTTTGAAAGGAGAACGTGAGAACTTTATCAATGAAAAAGGCGAATGATACAAACAGTGATACACTGTACCCCGAAATAGAAACACAGAACAAACCTACACACATTATAAAATATGTAAATAGGACATAAAATATTCCAGAGGTTGAAATGGTGCCTTTTAAACATTTCCCCTGACATCCATTCACAACCTACTTGAACCCCTGCATTGATTGACGTGTAGATGGAATATTCTGTTGTCAATTTTGATATAAAACAATTGCAAAGGACTAACGATTGTTGTGAAATATTCCAGTAAAAAAAAACCCAACTCATTGATAGGCTATACATATTTGCTAACAAAGTCATTATAACGACCATTCACATTCGAGGATCTAGAGGAGGGGGAAGGGTTATCCCCCTGCCTTGAATTTGCAAATTTACTAATTGTATATATACAAAACCAAGTATAATTTAACTGACCTTGGAATCTTCCATGAAAAGGTGGATCCGGACCCCTCCTTGGAAACGCGACTCTATGTGAAATTGATTTGAAAAGCCATGGATATGAAACTATACAGGTCAACGACTTTGAACCCCCCTCCCGAAATAGGGTGTTTTGGGAAAGAGATATTTTTCCTGTCAAGAAATTTCGAGGGTGTTACATTGTAATTATTTTTTGACTGGGGTAAACCTCCTTCTCCCATCCTAGAAAAGTTCCTTGATCTGCGCCTGATACAATGTACATTTAGCTATTTAGTTATATTTATTTATTCTTTATTAGCTAAAATTTTCAGCTTTTTTTCTTCAATGCTTATTTTATAACACACACACACACACACACACACACACAAAATGCGTTCAACGAGCGATTAAGAAAGATTAAGAAATAGCCTTACTTTTTACATTTTTTTAAGATAATGTAAGACTCGTATATTAAAATAAATGATTTTAGTATATACTTGATATGTATCAGTTACGGTACCAGTTCATAGGCATATGTAATTGACACATATAAATATATATATATAATTCTAGGTCAATATTCTCCTACTCATTGAATGATTTGGAAAGGCCAAACCAAGATTAGGTATTTCAACTCAACAGAGTTTTGATATAGTTTTCTATAACCTTTACGAGCAGTCCTCTTGTTTTCAAGTGTTGCAATTTCGAAATAACAAAGGAAAAGAATGATACATAATAAGGTTTCTTGCGTAAAGATTGAAGAGGAAAAATTTCTCGGTCAAACAAGATCAAATTATCATTTTTATAAAGGTCGAGATAAAAAAAAAACACAGAAACCTTTGCCTCAGAAAGTCTTGTAGCATTTTTTAAAATTACTTATCACTATGCACAATGAAATTTCTTCATATGCAAAAGTTTTTGTCTTTATTTTCATGTGTGTAAATTATTCACTTTATATTAAGTGTAACTAACAACTCCATTTACTACTACTTTTGAGAGAATAGCATCAAATAAAACACGTTCTACTAAGTCTTATTTCTCTATCTTGCCGTCCCTTCATGAATGCCTCCCTAGACTAATTTCTCAAATTAAGCACATGATTATATTCGGATTTTTTTTGTGAATAAGCATACCCTCTTCATGAGACCACTTTCTTATTTATATAATTTTCAGGTTTTTTCCATAAAAATTTTTCATCGGGGTCCAAAAATGAAATGTAAGCATATCTTAAAAATTCTTCTCTCAATAAGATTGTTATTAAAAAGTGTATTAGAAAAATAAGTAATTATCTGAAATGGTGTGTAATTTTCTTTACATTATTTGAAATTTAAAATTCTGTAGTCATAGGTTATTTGACGCATCATTGCATTTATGCTTTGAGAATGAGCATGATGCCCAGTCTTTGTATTATCCAAATGATGTCGAAATTAACAATACTTTGTTTTAAATCTCTAATTATCTTTGACCTACATACCAGAATAAATTTCAAAGTGTCAGATATTTCGAAACGTTGAAATGCATACATTACGTTGGAATGAAAAACCCCGAAGAACCCGAAAATCCCCTTTTTATTTCAGAACTTTTTTCTCAAGTTAAATTTTACTAGGAATATATACGCCGTTCGTAACATTATTTGTAAACATAGTAGGGAGGAGAAAAAAAGAACAATTATACTCAATAAAAAAATTGGACGGAATTTGAGAAAATCCTTGTTGAAGAATTTACATAATTGCTTATATTAGGGAACAAAGAGACTATCAGATTTTATATACTTAGTACATGTATAAATGTTTTCTTGCAAGTGGTATGATTGTAAAATTCAGATTTATGTGAAAACGTAAATTAAAGTTGGTCTTTTTAGTCCCCTCATTTTCATTGTTTAAGTTAAACTGAATATTGATCATTATATAAAGACTACTGAAGCACTCAGTATTCCATAATATTCACAATTTGTTATTTCTATACAGTGTTTTCCATGTTTTCTGTTTCAATTAGTTATTATTTCACTTCAACTTACTAGCGCTGGTCCTATTTTTATGCCCCGCCATGAATATGGCCGGGGCATATAGTGTTGTCATGTCCGTCTTCCGTCCTTCTGTCCTTCTGTCCTTCCGTCCTTCCGTCACACTTTGCGTTTAGCTCTGTTCAAAGCTAAGTTTCAAAGAAACTATCCAAGATATTTTCATCAAACTTCATATGCTGATAGATATATTGATGAGAGCTATGGTTCATCTAGGGATGAACACTACCAGACTTGCTTCGGATGCTGGATCTGACCGACATTTTCAAGACGAGTGACCAGGTAAAAGTTTTAGGAACAGGTCCATTCCTAAGGAACTATTAGCCCTACTTGGACCAAACTTGCATGGATGATGCATCTAGGGATGGACACTACCAGACTTGCTTCGGATGCTGGATGTGACCTACAATTTCCAGATGAGTGACCAGGTTAAAGTTTTTAGAGCAGGTCCATTCCTAAGGAACTATAAGCCCTACTTGGACCAAACTTGCATGGATGATGCATCTAGGGATGGACACTACCAGACTTGCTTCGGATGCTGGATCTGACCTATATTTTCATTCCCAAGTTACTATAAGCCCTACCTGAACCAAACTTACATGAATGATGCATCTAGGGATGGACACTACCAGACTTGCTTTGGATGCTGGATCTGACCTATATTTTCATTCCCAAGTAACTTTAAGCCCTACCTAAACCAAACTTGCATGGATGATGCATCTAGGGATGGACACCACCAAACTTGCTT